ATGCCAGCCCCACGTGCTGATGGACCTGACACATGACAATTTTTATATGTTTTCTTCTCATGCCATCTTATACTCCTGTCTGCTAGGCAGCCAGCATCATGTCTTTTATTAAAATAGGCTATGTGCTATAAATTTCAGATACATTTTACAGTGGGGAATAACCTGGCTTTCTGACAGTCTTTGATTTTGTTGTAAGCATGGTATACTAGAATGTGAGATTTTGTTGCATTATTATGAATATGTTGTCTTCTCTTTCCATGTTTCTGCATCCTGTAAGATCATTTAACAAAGAACGTCAGATAAGAAAGCAAAAGTAGGAACTAAAGTTAATTAAAAATGCATTTGCTGCATAAAGTGAGAACCATGCCTGGCCAGAATGCAGAAACATGCAAAGTTAAATGGAGTTTTGTAGTGGAAATGTCACTTGCCCAGAGTAAGGATAAATAAACCAAAGAGGTAGCACAGTCTGCCAGTTTTAACCCTGAATTTCCTCATTTCCAATCAGTTCTTTTTCAGATATTGTGCTAGACTTCTGACTATCACCTGCATCCTGGAATAACTTCAAGGCAGTGCAGTCCCTGCTTGGAGATGGGAAATAGGAAATTCATAGTGTCTATTGAAACCAATCCAGCCCTTTGAATTTGCAGTTTTTATGACCTTTTCCAAACTCCTTCCAGGAACACAAATATGTTGTTCATACTTGATCAGGCCCAAAACATGGCTTGTTTTGGGCCAGATCAGGACTGGAATGATGGGGGGTGGGGATAAGCAGAAACAAGGCAATTATACCTCTTGATTTGATGTTAAACCAATGACATTTTAAAGGCAACCAGGGTGGCAGTTGCCAGGCTGTTTTTATGAGCTGCTCTCAGATAGGAGCTCCACAGTGAAGGTCACTGTGCTGGAAGCAGAGATATGAACATTTTAGCATCTCTCTACTTTTGCTTTTTTTTGGGTCTCTTTACATCCAATATTCTCTTCCACCCCTCACCTATTTTCTACAGCAGATGGAGTTTGCAGAAGCCCCTCAGTGTGCCATCAGCATCTCAGGTTCCAGGGAGGCACCCCGAGCCCCAGAGAGTGCTGGATCCCCTCGTGTGAGCTGAGTGACAGCACTGTCTGCTCCAGCCCTCCGTGTCCACAGGGGTCATGTGCAAAAGCATTTCCTTTCTGTGACTAGAAGCAAAATTGGCCCCTGTGACTACAAAAACATGTCAGTCTAATGAGAAAAATGAGAAGGAAAAAAAAAGCCTGGCAAAAATCTAAGAATAGAGTGTTGAACAGGACTTATTTCTGCCAGAGGATTTAGGGGAGAGATGAATATTACTTAAATATGGTAGGAATAAGATGTCACATCAAGTATGTTACAGTGCTTTTATGCCAGCTCAAAGTATGTCTCATCCCACATGCTTTGTGTGTGTAAATTTGGATGTTTTTGCAGCTTTCTTCTTTCTAAAGGTAATCTGTACTGCCCTCATTTCTGGGTGGATTAACTCCAAACAGGAGTGAAGGCTCCTCAAGCAGCCATTAGAAAGTATTTTGGTCATTCAAATAGAGGAGCTGCTAGGCATTTAAAAATATTACAGGGAGAATTTACAGACATTCTTTAATGTAATCAGCTACACAGTGCTGGAAGCACTTATGGGATTTCATGAGTTCCTGTAAAACACAGTCCAGCAGCATCAAAAGAGATCTGCACTACCAGCCCTGTGAGTGACAGTGTCTGCCAAAGCCCCAGGCACTCATCCACCCCCTCCTGGGGCCAGTGGAGCTCCTGCATTTCATACCAGGGGGATTTGGGTTCATAGTGGAGTATGAGAATGGGACTCAGAGGTGACAGAGATGGCTGTCCCTTCAGGAGGAATTCTGCTGGTTTCATCCAATGGTTCCTTCAGACTCCTCCTGGCTTACCTGGAAAGGTGCTCAGGAGTCAGCAAGGGGACTTCAGAGCTTTCCCTGCCATCATCCCCTCAAGGATGGCATAGGAATGAAGCCACTTGTGATGGAGAGTCCTGTTACAGAGCAAACGCTCCTGTGTTTTGGTTCATCCTACATTAGAGGGATTTTTCTAGTCAAATCTGATTTGAAAGTGGAATGCTATGGAAATGCCATTGGATTTCTCCATAAAAACAACCAACTTCAGTTTGCCAGGTGTAAAATATTGTTACCTATCTGCCATAAAGACAGCTGCAGCCAAAAAATAAGGTCATCAACTAAACATGGCCTTTACTTTAAGGAGCTAAATAGTTTCCCTGATTTCTGAGAATTGCTGGATGATGCTGCAGAATCAGCAACTGCAAAGTGAGCTTCTCCCTGTGACATTCCTGCCATTCATCACCTGTTTGGGGTAAGAGTGCAGGCAGGTGAGAGCTTGTGCTGTAGAAGTCCCTTTTGCTAGCAGGATTGAATCAATAAATTACTTTAAATGTTGTTATGATCCTAAGAGCAAGATGATTTGCACAGAGTACTTGCTAGTGAGTGTAGAGCACCATAGTCCCTCATTATAGTTTTAGTAGAACAGGAGAACATAAAAAGAGTCTTGAATTACTCTAACTTAAGACTGTGAAAAACATGCTCTTGTGTTTCTTATTCCTTACTTTAATTGAACACAAAGATATCAGCACTTCAGTGTCAGCTGCTACACATAAAATCAAACTTGGAGTGTAGTAAATACAGCAGAACTGAAGGTTTAGTGTTATATATTGAGAGAACCATTCGAGATAGAATTGTCTTAACCAACACTACTACTACAATAACAACCTTAAATTTATTAAAATAGAACTAAGCTTAAATGCATTGGCCTTTCCTTTTTATTTTTATTACGTATTTTTTATCTCTAAGAAGCAAAACTCACTTAACATAAACTGGGTATTTTCACTTTCCCAGCTGTTGTAAATTTTCACAATGTTGCAATCTCAGAAGAAAATTTTAAACATCAATTTTAATAAAAACTTGAGTAAAAGTGTTCAAAACATGATTTGTCCCTAGTCATTTGATATAAAAAGTACTTGTTTTGATCCTGTTTATCCAATAGGAGCTTTCTAATCAATCCTTGTGCAGAGGACAAAGTCGTGGAATTGCCTCTCTAGCAGAAGACCAACTTAACCCGTTCCTGGGATCTGAAAGATGTGCTGCTGAGCAGAGTGGCTGCTGGATTTATTTCCTCGGGTGTGTCTGTCCTGATGGCTTTCCCTGCCCTCTTCATGTCCTGGTAGGTGGAGCACTGTGTGGGGACTCTGGCAAAGTGACAATAAAACTCCCTGCAGTGACAGGTGGCCTGAGGCCACATGTGAGAAAAGGAATAATGCTGGATGAAGCACACTGAGCTTTTGGGTGAAAAAGCAGAGTGTCAGTAATTATTAGACACTTTAATTAAATGGTGTTTACTAGTTGCTACAATAAGTTTCTAGGATTGGCAGGGGCTAGCTCCACCTGCCTGGGGACCTGGGCCCTGCCTGGGGCATCGTTTTGGCTCCAAGTAACAAATCTGGAGAAAGGCAAGTTGCTCTACAGGCAAATTGTCATGGACCTGCCAGAGGGCTGTCACAGGATTTAAGTCATGGTAAGATCAGCAGGAATTGCTGAAAATGCTCTGAAGAAAAAAAAAATTACAGCAAGAAATATTGATTTGATGCAGTTTGGGTATTCTTCAAGACTGTGTGAATTTTACTGGAACTTCCTGCAGGAAACCTTGCAAAGGTGAGTTTGGCTAGCAGGGAGCCAGCAGCTGGCAGGGTCCAACCTCCACCAGAGATTTTTCTGACAGGACAGGGAGGTAGCTGGGGAGCTAGAGACTAGATCAAAGCTGGTCTGATTTAGTTATTCAAAAAGTGAATGTTCCCAAATATTTTGTTCCATATAAATCTTCGTGTATCCAGCTAACACATCATGCATCTTTTTTATGGTATGGAGTGAAGGCGTTAAAAATAGAAAGGAATTTTTCTGCAGGTCTCAAAACACACGTCTCAGGCCATCACAGTGACTAAATAAAGTTGTGGCTAAACAAAATGGTGACTTTTAATGGAATTTCCGAGGTGAGAGTTGGAGGGCAAACGTTTTAGAAATGCACCTCAAATTTATTAAAATACAGTTCCCTCACATTACTTACTGCAAAAATCAAATTCTGTTTGTGATTTATAAACTCTAATGACTTTACTGATGACTTTTGACGCTTCTATTTAATTGGGACATTTTCCTGAGAAACAGCTGATCCATGGAAACGTTTTCTTGTTATGATACTGTTTTCTACATCAATAGGAGTGAGGTTTGGTTTCTTCCTTAATGTATTTCAACAAACACAGTGAGTTCGGAAGCCTGACCGAGCAGTCCGCCGCGGGCACGCAGCCCAGGAGGAGCCCGGGCGTGGACGGGGATGCCGCAAACAGCAGCGGGAGTATCGCTGCCCGCTCAGGTGCTGCACAGGTACTTCCAGCGCCGGCGGGGCCGGAGCGGAGCGGGCCGGGCAGCGAGCGGCTCCGAGCCGGTGCCGGGGCTGCGCCGGGCGGGGCCTGGCGCGGGGGGCGGTGCGGGGCGCGGGCGGGGCCGGGCCCGCGGGGCAGTGCGGCCGGGGCCGCGCATCCACCGGCTCCATCGGCTCCACCAGGTCCACCGAGTCCACCGAGTCCACCGGGTCCACCGGCCGGGCGGGGAGAGGCGGGCTCGGGCTGCCGCCGCCTCCGCCGCGCAGGGGCAGAGCCCGCGACGGGCGCACGGCGGGCGCTGCCCGGGCGCAGGAGGGGAGGGAAGGGGAGGGAGGGAAGGGGAGGCTCGTCCCCGCTGCCGCCGCCTCGTCCCCGCTGCCGCCGCCTCGCTGGACCTCGCGGCGAGCTCCCGGCGCGGAGCGCTCCGTGGGATGGGGCTCGGAGAGGCGCCCGGTGTCGCCTGCTCGCTCTCGGGCTGCGGGAGCCCCCGGGCAGCGCAGGGCAGCTGAATCCCGCCCGTGCTGGAGCGAAGGAGCGGGACGCGATTTATTGCTGCATTCCCAGAAACGTCGCTTCCACCTGCGAGCGAGTTTGAGCAGCCGGCTGTGGATTTTATATTTGCTTCTCCGCAAACCGAGGTTAGCCGGGAGGCTTTGGCTTTTTGGGAAGGAGCCTTGCCCCGGCCCGCTGTGTGCGATGGATTGAGGCGTGCCCGGCTGCGCCCCCAGCCAGGTCCCCGCCCGCAGCCCACATAGATGCGATGGAAAGTCGGGGGCTGTTCTGCACCCTTTGTTACCTGATGTTCAACGCTCCTCTGCTGTTCATTGTCACCGGTGAGTAGGGAACTTCGGTCTCTTCCCGCGGCGATGCGCCGCTCCGGGCACCACTCGCTGGCGAGAGGCTGCGGGGCCGTCGGGGCTGCGGGGCCGCCCGTCCGCACCGAGCTGCAGCCGCCCCGCTGCTGGCAGGCCCGGCCTCCCCGGCGCGTTCCCAGCGCGGGGCTGGGGGCAGGGAGCTGCCCTGCCCGGGCTCTGGCAGAACAAGGTGGCACTGTTGGGCCGCAGCTGCCGGCAGCGCGCAGCGGAACCGAGCGGGGCGCGGCGGGCGCGCAGCCCGGGACAGTCCCCGCGCCGCCCGGCGGGAGGGCACAGTGGGACACCGGTGGCCCTGGATCAAGCCGAGGGCTTTCTTAGAAGGACTAGGGGGTTTTAAAGTCCTCTGCAAACTTTCCACTGAAGCCGCGGCTGCAGCGTGACGGGGGCCGGCTCGGCCCTGCCCCGGGTGCACAGTCCCGGATGCTCGGTGGTACCTGGGCTCCAGGAAACCTGTGTTGTGATCAGTGCTTAGCTCTTGAGCTGAAGCAGCTCAAGTTAGACTGAAAAAGACTGATCTTGTCTTTTAATCTCTCTCATTAACCAGCCCTTGTAACTCTATCTTCCCCCCAGCTACCTTTACTGAAGTTCCCAAAGATGTGACTGTTAGGGAGGGAGATGATATTGAGATGCCTTGTGCTTTCCGAGCCAGCGGATCCACCTCTTACTCCTTGGAAATCCAGTGGTGGTACCTTAAAGAACCAGCCAGAGAACTTGCACACGAATTAGCCATCAGTGTCCCCGGCAGCAGGAGCAAGGTAATACATTGCTATGGAGATATATATCTTCATCAAATGCAACATGCTTAGGCAGTAATTAGAATAAACTCAGCATTCCCAGAGTGTTTCCTCTGCCCAGTGCCGGCCACCAGTAGGAAAGATCAGTGTGCCCAGGCCCTCCGAGGGATGCAGGAGTACAGGGCATGCACTTCATGTCAGGAAAAAACATCAGAGCTTTAAGGACTGTAAACAGAAAATGATAAATGTTCCACTGCAAAATCAGCAATGAGGTCCTAAGAAAAGAAGTGTAGACAAGCAAAAACCAGTGCTTTTGTGGACTGAGCTAGGAATCGCTGTAAAAGGTGGTCTCTGCTCACTGATAGTGCAGAGAAAGGCTTGAGGGGTACACCTCTCTGTTGGTACATTAACGTGGTACCAGTCTGCATTTACAAATGTACAGTTACTTGTACACGTCCACACTTGTGTCCATATCTGAAGCTCAGTAAGATGTTTTCAGTCAGATGTAGCAATTAAAATGCATGAGGCAGAGTTAAATCTTGCGTGCCTTTTCCCCTCCCCCTAGGAAGCCACTTGGTGTAAGGGTAGGCTTTAGTTTAAATATTTCAGCTGCATTTCCCCAGCATAAGCCAGTTCATTCTACAGCTCCCCCACCAGAGCAAAGACACCTTGCAGGTGCCAGATGGGGCTGTACAAGGAGTGGGGTAAAGCAGGACTTTGAGGCTGTGTTGCCCTACTGTGCAGGACATGTCATCCTCTCCAGCCCCCGTCCTCTGTGCCAGCAGGGTGGCCCGCAGCAGCCTCTGTGCCTGTGCCAGCTCCCCTCTCTGTGGCACGCTTGTTTTCCTGCAGAGCTCAAATAGAGATGCAAAGCATATAGACACTGAGCTAATGTGATGCCGCCTAGCTGGGGAAAGTGTAAGTCAGTTGTCAGACTGGGAAATAAATCGCTTGGATTTAAATGTCTTCTTTAACCTTATATAAAAACTGTGAGCTGCTTTTACAATAAATGATGACAGAGCAAGCCTGGAGAATGATGACCATCTCCCTGAGAGGCGTATCAGTGAGGTCTGAGGCATCACTTAGGTTTACAGTGGTTGGCTGGAGACAAAAACATAACCAAATATGAAACCTGCTGCATGATACCTGCTCCCAGGGTGTTTCAGGACTGAACTCTGCCCTGAGCCATGCAGGATCCAGCTTGCCCAAACCATTCACTGCTGTGCTGCTGGCATACCGTCTTCCCTGTGTTTGTCAGTGACTGTGAGCAGCAGAGCATGCAACAAGCATTTCTTTGGCTGCTGTTCGCACCCTTGGGGAAGGCAGCGCTTCTGTGGGGCTGCATGGGAACTTTACCAAAACAGTCCCCTCGGCTGTGGGGCTGCATGGGAACTTTACCAAAACAGTCCCCTCGGCTGAGCACTGCTTTGCTGCCTTCCCCATCACCTCGGGGACTGCCCTGGGCCACACAGGCTGTGTGAATGGCAAGCGGAGAAAGTTACATCTATCCATGTCCTGTCCTTCCGCTGGGGTGGGAATATGAGCATCCTGTTGATGTGCTGGCAGCGCTGAGTCTAATTGCCCTTTTTTTTCTGTTCTTCTAGGTAGCAAATAAGGATGCAACCAAAATCAGCGTAAGTGCAGCTCGAGATGGGTGCACACCCGTCCTCCCACGCTCGTGGGATTGACTGCATGCCCCCCTCATTTCCTGACACACGAATGCAGCTGGTCTCACTGGCAGCCGCGCTCCTGCAGCACGGCGGGAGTGTGGCACGTTTCCCCTCCTCAGTGTGCCGTGGCTCAAGACGTTGTCACCATCTGTTGCTGGTTTTGCAGTCACGTCTAACTCCTTGCAAATCCAGAGGAGGTGACGCTTGCCTTACAGCCCTTCCTTAGCCACGTTGGAAAAGAACTGTAGGCCAAACTAGAAGAGAATCTTGCTTTTTTTCCCCAGCCTTCTGCAAGCCCCCAGTCACTGAGGCGGCCCCTTTCTGTGGCTGTCCAGCAGGAAACACGCCCCTTTTGCTCCCATGCGGCCCGGTGTCTCTCTCCGCGGTGCTGAGCACGGGGCAGCTCCCGCGCCGGAGAGGAGCGCTGTGCCCAGCCGGGCTGGGCTCGCTGCAGCCGGGGGGGGCGACCCCGGGGGCTGCGCTTTCCCCAGGGGGGCAAGGGGAGCTCGGGGTGGTTCGTGAGGCCCGAGGGCTGCCCGAACCTGGGACCGGCCGCGGGGCGAGAGAACACCCGCGGGGACTGGTGGCAGAGCGCTGCTGGTGACAGGTGGGAGGTGGCGTGGGAACGATGGGGACAGGGGCTGGTTCTGGATAGCCCCGCGAGGTGGGGCTTTACCAGCGAGGCTCTGGGCTCGGTGTCCGCTGCTTTGGGGAAATCGGCCCCGGCTCCGTGCTCTGGGCAGCAAACCAGGGGCAGGGGCCGCAGGGCGGGGCAGGGTCGCTGAGGCCGTGCCGGCCGTGCGCTCTCTTGCAGACGGTCCGCGTCCAGGGCAATGACATCTCGCACCGGCTGCGCCTGTCGGGCGTGCGGCGGCAGGACGAGGGCGTCTACCAGTGCCGCGTGTCGGACTACAGCGACGACGAGACGCAGGAGCACAAGGCTCAGGCGCTGCTGCGCGTCCTGTCCCGCTTCGCCCCGCCCGACGTGCAGGCGGCCGAGGCGGTGTCGCACATCCAGAGCGGGGCCGCCCCGCGCCGCCACGGCCCCGCCGCCCGCCCCACGCCGCCGCCCGGCCCCGCCAAGCGCCCGCCGCCGCCGCCGGCCCCCGCCCCGGGCAGCACCGCCGCCACCGCCGCCACCGCCACCGCAGCCTCGACGGCCGCCGCCGCCGCCGCCTCCTCGGCCTCGCCGCCGCCCGGGCAGGCCGCCATCCTCCGCCAGCAGCACGGGTCAGGTAGGGCGGGGGGCGGGAGGGGACCCCGCTCCCGCACTGAGCCCCGGCACTGCCGCTGCTTGCGGGCCGGGCACTGTGAGCCCTGTGCCCTGGGGGGACTCTCGCTGCCACGCTGAAACTGAGAAATCGCGCCCAGGTCTGTTGGCGAAGTGTGCTTAGGCTGTCCCAAAGGCCGGGAGTGGCGCCTTGCCCCGGTCTGGACAGGAGTGAGCACAGGCACGGGGCTGGGGAGACGGGTCCCAGTACAGGGCTGGGACCTGCATCCCTTTGGTAGGTGCGGTGGGAGGCCCCACGTTCAGATCCCCCTTGCAGCTTTTCGGGTGCAGCGTTTGAAACAGCAGCTGCAGCCTCAGGTGAGCGAAACGCCGTGGATGTTCTGCAGAGAATTTAGATTTGCAGAGAATTTAGATCAGCGAGTGGTTTACAGGGCTGGCGGTGCCAGGCAGATGCGAGGCCTGTGCAGAGCAAGATGCAGATTCAGAAGGGAAATGTCAATTGCTGTGTAATGAGCTCCACATCTGAATTAATGGCAGGATAAGAATTGGAGATACAGTGCTCTATAATGTTTTCCAAATGTAAACATCATGCTAATACTGATTGCCTATCAGTTAATACTGTATTAAGTTATTAATGCCACATTATCATATTGTGATTTGCCAGAGAAGGCAGTTATAAACCTTTATTCAATGACAGGAATGTCTGGGACGAAGAATATAGTCTTAAATCTGCATTGCAAAAGTGTTTCAAGCTTCGGAGGTGTGGTGCTGCTCTGGCTGGCCTTCAGCACCCCTCTCAGCCACTGTCACTTAGCTAATGTTGAACAAAGGTCCCTGCCAAGTTATCTGTGGAAGAAGGGAAACAATTTTATGCCACTGACTGTGCAAGGAAGGCCCTGAGCTCCCTTCTCTGTTGAGTCTCTTCTGACGCAGATTCATAATCTTCACACAGGGAAGTTCACACTTCTTCCTGATACCTCTTCACACTTTCTGGCCAAACAGTTGCAGGTTTTGGCTCACAGTAATGGAAATTATTCCTATCTGGGTTACTGTGACCTGCTGGTGCTTTACAGGTGCTGTGTTTTATCTGGCTACTACCTTTTCCTGTTTTCTGAATAATTTAGTTTCCTTCTTCTGTAGAAATACATGTGAAAGTTAGATTTTACTCCTTATCATTCCCAAGACTAAGCTAGTTTTTCATTGGTGTCTAGTGGAAGATAAGGTGACAATTCCTGACATCTAACTACAGGTGTTCCTGGCCATTTAAAGAAGTTCATTTTGCTTTTGCTGAATCTACTGACCCCAAGAAGTTAAACCAGACACTGTAATGCTCATAATCTATCATTTTTTGTTTGGAAAGATCTGCTTTCCTCCTGGAACCCCAGAGCTGGGGGTTGTTATGTTTCCACTCCGTGACTGAGAATTCTTGCAGTGTTTTCCATGCTGACAGTAGAGGCTGAGTTTAGGACTTGCAGCACTGTGCACCCTGCCTGCTGAACCCAGAGCTTATGTGGTGCATATGAACTAAAACCAGGACAGTGGAAGTGCAGTGGGCTCAGTTCCACGTCAACAGATGGATGTGAGCGTGTGCTGCCAAGACAGCATGTCACATATGCCTGTTAGGGCAAGACCTCCTGCCCAGATCAGCTAAACTGCTGTCTGTCCCAATTTTTTACATGTCTGTGCTTTGGGATATGGCACTTCTGCATCATTTCTAGGCTGCGTTAAATTCTGAAAATAAACTGGTAGCATTGTGGCCAGCAGTGGGGGTAATAGAATGATTCAAATCAGTGAAAAAGGTAAGCAGTATACAGAAAACCATCTAGTGGGGGTCTCCAGGTGGAGACCGATGCTGAGAGCTACAAAACTGGCTAAATCAAAATCTGGTGCTGTGAGCTCCCTGCTGGGCACACTGGTCTCTGTGAACAGTGCCACTCCGTGGCAGCTCCAGTGCTGGAGAAAGCCAAGTCAGGCTGTTCCTGTTCCTGTACTGACTTAGTAAGGTGTAAACCAACACCTGCTTTTGTCCCCATCGTATATTTTGGTATGGTCCTCCTTTAGAAATTAATGCCTTTTTACTCTGCTTGAATCAAGACCTCCCTGAATAACACGCTTCTCCCTGGTTTGTTGTAATTTCTGTACCTGCATAAAATACTAACATGGCAGTCAGTGTGGTGAGGGCTTGCAGGAGTATCATCTGCTTTTGTGAGGAAAGGGAAGAATGGGGTCTCCAGTGCTGCCAGTCAGCTTGGATAAGTGCTAAACTTTCTTCAAAATTTCCTAAAATAAAATGACATCTTACACCTTCTGAATTTCCCATTTGTATGTTAAAGTGGTGTTCTTTAGAGCTATGTCAGGTACAGTAATTATTGTTCTCCATAAAGAATGCAGTTGCTTTATAGAAAATGGGATTTTTCCCCTTTTATTTATTTATGGGAACCAGAAGCCCTGTTTCAAGTGCACCCATCCGAGGCAGTGTCATTACTGGTTTTCCACACAGTAGGGCCAACAAATCCAACTAAATCTTTTTTCACGTGCTGTTTGAGACTGCAGGACCTAACCTGGTGTTGCTGTTATGAGTTATATCTGCATAGCAGTGTGATACATACACTTCATTATCCTATTTGAGCCCTGTAACACATACAGATAAGCACTTGCACCAAATCTGTGTGTAATAATTGAATAGTCTAATATATTAAAAGTATTTAGCATTTCTAAGTCTTTTCATTGTACACAGGGATATTTCCTCTGTATAAAAGCAGAAATGTGGTCGAATAATGGATTTGCTATCAGCAATTAAGAAACATCCTCGTTTAAGACACTGGAGAGCTCTGCCTAAGAGCATGGCCCTAGCTAGAGTGTCCTGCATGAATTGGCCTCTAATCCCATTTTCCTTGCAATAGAAATCTTCCCAATACTTCCAGTGTAGTAAGAGAGGGCCTCTATGTACTTGAATTCCAATAAACATGATTATAGATCAAATGCTACATTGGCATGTGCCTCCAGGGCTCTTGTTGACTTCAGCTGCTGCCCCCGTCACGCACCATGGAAAAGTGGGATTCTTTACATCTTCTAAGTGAACTGAAACATGAATTTATTAGGATAAATGTGTCTGTTACTGAGATTATATAAAGAACAGAGAGTCTCATCTGACAAACCAGGTATAAATAGAAAATCTATTGTTTTGGACACCATCAGAAATGATATTTGGCTGAAGTTTGTGTCAGCATTATGGTATATAAGGCAATAAATCCATATAACTGAAAAATTTACCACTATGCCACAAATATTAGCTACTTAAACAGAATTTTATCTGTGATGTTTGAACAACCATATAAAAACTTGGTGCTATGGTCTCATGAGTCAGAAAGGTTACTGCTTGTCTGCCAGCAAGGTGAACTGAAGTGGAAACCTAGCAAATGGGATTTGGGCTGTGAGGAGACAAAGATCTGCTGGCGAGACCATTTTTAACACTATCAGAGAAGCAGTCGTCCATGTGGTTCTAAATGAAATAATATTGAGCTTTTAGTTTAAATGCTTGTACACAAATGGAATCTTACACTGTAGGAGAAAATTGGGGTGAACAAGTGAAAGTGTGCAGAGTTGTTTCTGTTTGGAAGTGCTCCTGGTTTTTACTGGGTAGAATAGGGGGGATGCAGGAGCATCACTGAGTGAAACACATGGTATCTCTGTCTCTGGAAGTTTGTAGTCCAAGTGTTTGAGACAGTTAAGTCACACAAGAACAATAACTGACTTTGTTGAGTCGTGTGACAGCTGTGAAATTAAATATGAAAACTTAATTTCACATCTTCTAAATTTAAGTCTAGTGCCGTAGTCGTGAGACTAACTTTGTCATCTGATGGTGAAGTAATAAACAAGGATCTTCATCCTGACCTCCTGGGAGGGAAACTGACTGTATTATATCCTAGCAAATGGTCTCCAAAATGAGTGTCTGTGTATTGGCTTGGGGGCAATTTTTAGTTTAGCTTCTGAGGAGAATGTAGATCAGACATTGCAGCTTTCAAAATCCCTTTTATTTGTTTGATCTCTAGCCTCAAAGCTCAGAAGTGAGAGCTTTAAATAAAATAAACAAAGATGGGAGTGTGAAACAAGAAGCTCTGGGAGGGGCACAGGCTCATGTGTTGTGCACAGATGAAGTGGTCATGGCAATGAAGAACATAAACCTTCACTCCATGCCTGTCCCTCCCCTCCTCACAGCCTTTTATGTCTGAGCCCAGAGCTCTGCTCCTGGGCTGCTCGGGCAAGATAAAGCAGCAGGTGCCAGTCGTGCAGCCCCTGTGGCCGTGGTGTCAGCAGAGCAGGGCAGGCACAGCCTGCACACCTTGAGGCAGGAGGCCATGGGGAGGATCTCAGATCTCTGCTGTGCTCTAGGAAGCAAGAGAGCTGTCTTTGCAGCTTAGAGACAGCACAGGAAGGAGCTCAGTGTTTTACTGAGTGTGCAGAGCTGTGGCTGGTTAGGGGGACTCTGTTTGGAGGAGCTGTGCTTGGGCTTGGACTAACTTTGGGTAAGGGTTTGAGTTCAGGGCTCTCCTGGCTTTGTCAGAGCTTGAATGGCTCTCTGCTAGTTTGAGACACAGCCTGTGGAGCTCGTTTATGTTTGATAGATGAACATTACATGAAATAGCAAGAAAGGAGAGTCTATGAGGCTGCTCAGCTCAGGCTCCCTGCCTTTCCCACTCAGTAATGTCTGTCTACTCCACTTCCCCTTGTGCTTTTTATGAGACCATGTATGAGCTCAATTCTGTTGTTACTTGTAGTTAAATGCAACCTAGGTCACATCACATTTTCCTTTACATTAAATAAAGTAGCAAGACAGAGGCCATAACTGAATTATCAGGCTGACCTCCTAAATGTCACTGGATAATAAACATGCAAAAAGAATTCTCATTAAATACACATCACTAGCACTTTAATATCTAGGCAAATTAGACTGCTTTGGGGACAAGTGAGGTCAAATATCTTCTTTTGTGTCTGTGTAATATG